TAATAACCACTCTTACTGCGTGACGCGCTCTCTCTTTTCTGTCGGTAACTACAGGATTCGACAGCTGCAACCGAGTGAGCTGGTTGGATACCTAGGCCGAAGGTATAATGCTCTAGGACAGACCAGGGTGGCCTTCAACGAGCTGCAGACACAGCTCGATCGTATTCATCAAGCGGGGCAAAAACCAGCGCAAAAACTGCTGGTTTTAAAAACATACTTGCTTTCGAAGTGTATTGACAAGTTGCAGAGTCCAACCATCATTATGAAGACGTTGAAGGGCTTTGACAGGTCCGTGCGTATAGCCGTTAGGAAGTTTCTGTCCCTCGTATCATACGTGCGCAGATGCTTACATCCACGCTCCCACACAAGAGAGTGGCCTGGGCGCCATGGCCATGGCCATGCACGTCCCGGCAATCATGAGAAGGAGACTGACTAAACTAATCAGCTCAGCTACTGATTCGACGTATTTAGCCCCAGTTTACCATACATCTTACGTCTCTGGGACAAAATCCTTAAATGTACAAGAACATCTTTGGTAAATTCAGCATCTATCGCACGTGAATTGATCCATAATCTTGAGGACGGCTATAGTGGAAACGGACTTCGCTAAGGCTCTTTACATTCCGAAAGCTCAGCCTGGATAAACAATCCACCGCCTTACTGGTCAGGAAGAGATTTTGTCAAGGCAATCCAGCTGCAAGGAAATCTACTGCTTACTAGAGGCATCCCGTCAAATCCACCACATGAACGGAGGTACCGAAAGGGATCCGTACGTAACGAGAGCCTTAGTCACGTTTTGCAAAAGTACCCCGCCTTACATTGGCACCACAATAAAATACACGACTAGCTTGTTACGTATCTACGGAAAGCAGCGGAAAAGAAAGGGTGGATTTGCGAGGTTGAAGATACCTGACCTTGTCGCGCAACAGGGTGAGCGGGTAATTGTAGTGGAAGTTGCCGTCAGCTGGGAGGGTCCTGAACCCCAGTTAGTACAGCCGCAGCTGATAAAACAGAGCTGTAAAAAGACAGCGCAGACATACAAATTGTGGCATACGTATTACTTTTTCCAGAACCAGATTGAACAGTATACAGGAAAGAGAATTTCCCTGGCGCAGCCCATTATCAATTTTAAAAGTTTTAGACAGTTCCTCCTGAATTTGTACTCTACATTCAACTTGTTCAAGAGTTAGTTTTGTTAAATTTACCAACTAATTTGGTATTCAAGAACCAACAAGAGTTGGGCAAGCGTGGAAGGTGATAAAGTCTCTCCGGAGGGAAGGAAAGGAAAAATCTAACTTAAAATTAATAGATCTGAAACAGTGGAAACATCATTATGAGGTCATATTGACAGAGGATAGACGTAAATTCCAAGATATCGAAATGGAAGAAATATCTGAACATACACAAATAATTGAGATAACAACCGGAGAGTTAAGCGATGCCCTCAAAAGATCGAAAAACGGTAAAGCAGCAGGACCTGGAGACATCCCAATTGAGTTGGTAAAGTATGGACCAAAAATATTACACGAGATGATGGTTAAACTATTTAATAAATGCTTAAAAGGACAAAATATCCCTGATGATTGGAATGTTGGATACATCAGCTCAATATACAAAAAAGGGGATAAACGCAATTGCTCTAACTATAGAGGAATAACTGTTACTAGCTCAGTTGGGAGGTTGTACGGTCGAATAATAAAAAAACGAATTGAATCAGAATATGAAGACATAGAGGAACAAAATGGATTTCGGGCAGGAAGATCGTGCATTGATAATATATTCGTTCTGCAGCAGGTAATCGAAAAACGGAAGGCAAGGAATCTATCTACCCACCTATTGTTTGTAGATTTAGAGAAGGCATATGATACGGTACCTTTGAAAAAACTATTTTATACATTGACGAAAGTAGGTCTCAGTAGAGAGTATGTGGATGCTATCGCAAATATATACAAAAATGCAAGAAGTGTCGTTAAAGAAGGAAACTTTATATCTGAATCATTTCCAATAACCAAGGGGCTTAAACAAGGATGTTGTCTGTCTCCGACCCTGTTTAAAATATATATTCAATCATCGCTAGAGCAGTGGAGAAAACAAGTATCCGGAATGGGAATAGACATAGGCGGTGGTGAATGTCTAACAGCTTTATTTTTCGCAGATGATCAGGTAGTCGTAGCGAATGACGAGGAAGACATGGACTACATGTTTAGAAAACTAAAGAAAGAATATGAACAATGGGGCCTCAATATGAATATGGCAAAGACAGAGTATCTTAAAATAGGAGATGGTGAAGAAGATCCAGAGTTAGAAATTAGAAACACAAAAACATGCAATGAATATAAATATCTCGGATCTATAATATCTAAAGAAGGCACTACCAAAAGAGACATCGAAAACAGAACACAGCAGGGAAAAAAAGTGGTAAACATTCTAAACTCTCTACTTTGGTCTAAAGATATTAGACAAGAAACGAAATTGACAATCTATCGAACCTTGGTAGAGCCTATTATGACTTATGGGGCAGAGGTTTGGCAGATAACGCAGAAGGATAGAAAAAGAATAGAAGTAGTAGAAATGGATTTTCTAAGGAGAGCGTGTGGTATATCCAAAAAAGATCACATCAGGAATGAAGATATTAGAAGGAGGACAAATACTGTATATTCCAGTGTAGATAGAATTGAAACGAGACAACTAGTGTGGTATGGTCACGTGAAACGAATGAATGAAGATAGATGGCCAAAGAAAGCTTTAAATTACATACCACAACAAAGAAGAAGAAGGGGAAGGCCTTCAGTTGCCTGGGAAGAAAATGTACGGCACATAATGAGAGATAGAGCCATCAGAGAAGACGAATGGATGGACAGAAAACGATGGCGGTCGAAATGCGAGAAACGGCAGAGGCTTTGATCAAAGTATTTTTGTTAAATTTTACCAACAAATTTAGGTATTCCTAGCTCTTTTATTGCTTTAAACATTTCTCTTTCATTCACAGAGTAGTAGGCTACTTCATAGTTTATAAATATGTGATAAGTATCAATGCCGTATTTCAGTGTTTTTTCCAAAATTTGTTTCTGGTTGCAATTTGATGAATTGTAGATTTACCACCTCTGAAACCAATCTACTGGTATTTTCCTACTATCCGTTCTGCATATGGTGCCATACGGTGACATAGTACTGTGGAAAATATTTTATACGCTACATTTAGAAGCGAAATTCCTCTGTGGTTAGAGCATTTAAAGATATCTTCTTTTTTGTGTATGGTCCAAAGTATTCCAATATTAAAATTATTGGGGAGGGATTTTTGTGTCCATATTTCTTTTACAAGCTGCTGTAATGCCATAATGGTATCATGGCCACCTTCTTTATATAATTCAGCTGGAAGATTATCTATTTCGGGTGATGTGTTTCTGACTAGTTTTTTTACTTGATTCTTTAATTTCAAGAATCGTTGGTGGTTCCTCCTCCCACTCGTCTGCTCCCCTTACCATATATTTTCGTCTTCCAGGTTTTTTTCTTCTGTCTTCACATTAAGTGCCTGGTTAAAGTATTCCACCCATCTACTCAATACATCTTTCCTTGTTACCAAAGAGGTATGATAAACCATTTATTGTTTATTACAAGCCAGTAGTTGTGAAACCTAAAACTATTTATTTCTTTGTATTTTAAGTTTATATTTTAATGTGATAATCTTTATTATGTACTCATTTTTTATTATATACTTATATAACCATATACATTAATATCCGGACAAATACAGCTTTTTTTACTGGATGGGTACAGGTAGCGAATCCTGACGGGCATGACGATCTTATGCTTTTGAGACTTATGCACATTCTGTATATTTAGAATAAATTTAAATACGGTAACATAATTTTAAATGTTTTTACATGTAAATAGATCGAATGCATAAAATTTCTATAAATAACAGGTTTTTTCTTTTTACAGAAAACCAGTACAGAGGCTAGCACAACAAGATCCTCCGTATCCCGAGGAAGAGGTCGATCGAGATTTGTAAGTTCGGCTGAATACCAAAACGTTAGGGACATTTCATCTACTTCAGAAACTACAGTGCCCAGAAAGACTGTCACATCTAGAAGACGAGTCGTAGAAAATGTTGAACAACGATTTCCTTCTCGATCCGTATCTACTCCTTCTCCAACCCCTTCTAAATTACCTGTTACATTTACTGTAAATGCAGAAAGGAGAGCACTAACTCCAACATTTGGAGATACTGTTGAAAAAATATTCACAGTAAACGAATCTCCCATTAAGAGACCTTTTAAACCTGTAGCTGTATCACAAACTTCAGCTAGAAGAACACCAAAACCTTTAACAGATTATGTAGAACGGAAAAATTTTAAATCATCAAAAAATACTTACGAAGTACAAGAAGTTATCAATGAAGATTTTGAATTGGTAAGAAGGGTAAAAAAACCACGAGTACCAATAGAAAATAATAATAATCAAGTTCCATTAAGAAACCAAGAAAGAAAAGAATTGTTTAGAACAGGGGGTTCTTCTAGGAGAAATCAAGAAAATTCAGATTCAGTGCTCGCAACGAAATTTCCAAAACGTACAAAAGATAGCCAAGATGGGTGCTAAATATTTCACCCCGCAAATTAGAAACTCTAGAGCCATCTAAATCAACAACCTCGGAACCACCTGCAAGTGAGGAACCAATCAGCAGTCTATCTAACACTAATCTCATTGAAGAGCAACCCTTAGATACGACGCTTGTTCCGGTAGAGCTTGAACCTTCTCTAGATCCCTTACAAGCAGAGGAGGTGAAGGAAGAGCTTACTAATGTTAATTTGGTTTCTTCAACTCCAAAGCCAATTGAAGAACCTAGGTTATCCGGCAACCGAAGAAACGGATTAAGGAAAAATACCAACGTTATTGAACAATCTACATCCGCTCCCAGGTTTAGAACTAGAGGTAGAATCAGCCAAGCTGCTCAAGCGGAGCAGTCAAGTCGTTCACCTGAATTTAACTTTCAATCAGTTATGTCAACAGCTACTCCTAACCGCGGGTTTAGGAGACGTCTTGATACTATAACAGAACCAAGGTAAGAATATGAAACTGTGTTTAAAAGTAATGGTTTTTTTCTTTTTTGTTACTTTCTTTTTGTTATGATGTAATGAAACAACGATGCTACTTACCTTACGAAAAAATGACAGTAAAAATCATATCAGAATATTATATCTTCTTCTTCTATTCCATGGAACATAGTCTAAGACCTGTTTTGGCCATCGTCTGTATTCCATTTATATTACATGTGCTTATCCTAAAAGTTGTTTGGATGCTATTGTATCTTGGGTATTGTAAATCCTTCCTGTTCTTATAATTTATTCATTTGGGATGTGATGAACACTTGATATCTGATACGTTCTTCTTAGATAGTCCATTTCTACTACTTCCAGTTTTTTCTTTACTTTCATTGTAATTTGCCAACATTTAGATCCATACGTCAAAATTGGTTCTACATTCTACAACCAACTTAGATTGTTATTTTTGTTCGTAAACTAATTTTAGGAGACCAAAGTAATAAGTCAAGTGTTTAGCATAGCATAGTGTTTAGCATAGTGTAGCATATTTTGCCCCTGTTGTATTTTCTTCTGAATGTCCCGTATCGATGTTGCTTTATTCGCTATCACTGTCCCTAGGTATTTAAATTCTTTAAATTCTTTTATATCTTTAATCGAAAATTGTCTCTTTTTCTCGCCCTTTATTTTTAGTTAATACGTTTTGTTAGTATTGATGATGATTCCGAAGTTTCGTATTTTTTGGTTAACTTTCGAATCGTATAATCCATGTCTTCCTCATCATTTTCCATAATTACTTTATCGTCTACGTAGAAAAGATTGTTAAGTAGTTGTTTCCAAGTTTTATTCCCATTTCTGTACATTTTTTCTTTATTTATTTAATGCGTAATTTAATATAATATAATTTTTAAATAGAGTTAACGATAAAGAGCATCCTTGTCTCAAGCGTTTGAGACAGGAAATACATTTAAAATTTTATTCTCCATTTTATTATTTGTCCTATTTCATTATTTACCTTCCTTAAAACTTTCTTGTTTCTCATCCCATTGGTCTATGGTACACGAAAGATTCTTTGCATGGTCCACATTTTAAAAACCTTTAACTTTATTTGGAAGAAATCTTATATGTACCACAAATAATATTTAACTATCTTCTAATTAAGATTGCGGTTACATTTAAATTTAACAAAAGCTTGTCTTGCTTATTTGGTACGGGATTTTTTTTATCTTGCTAAGAGTCTAATTCGTCATTCACGAGTATTCTTGGGCACGATATTGTAAGATTTGTTAAATGGCTGGGACATATCCTGAGACAAAGATATACAAAACAACAAAAATATTACAGTAAAGCTGAAGGAAGGCAAAAAAGGAAGACCCTGAACGAGATGGTTGGATGACACAATGAACGTCCTGAAAACTATGAATGTTAGACAATGAATGAAACGGGTACAAGAGAGGTGTAAATGAGGGATATAGTCAGACAAGTAAAGACCCATCCAGGGTTATGAAGCCAAAGGAAGAAGAAGAAATATTAAAGCAGAAAGCTGCTTAACGTGTACCCATTCGCTTTTGAAACCAAATTGTGGCTCACCATTTAGTTCGTCCAGCTTTCTACATATTCTAGTAGATGCCAACGGGTGGCTCCTTAAGCTTAATCTATGTTCTTTGCATTTTGTTGCCTTTTAAGATTTAGAGATAAATGTTTAATAAAGCCAATCCATTGAAATATGGCCAGTGTTATATATGGCACTGAAAATTGTTACCCACATGTTGTCATCTTCCAACATTTTTTAGGCTTTTGTAGTAATACCATCAGGTCCAAGAGCCTGGCCCAGCTGTGCTACTTTTATAATGTACTTCACATTAATACAAATAATGGGAGTGCCGGATAAATTTGTTTTGGGTAAGAGAGAGATTGTGGAGATTTGATTTATCCTTAAAGAGGAATGAAGCATAGTCAGTCCAGATTTTAGCTAGTTCTTCCTCGGTATGTTCATAGTCTCTTTTATCATATTTTTTCTCTAGAATATTAAAATTGGAAAGCATATTATTATGTTCTGCTAATTGTATTTAATTATCTGTCTATGATTTTTAAGAAATTTTATACTTTTTCAATCAACACCAACCATTAAATTTAACTTCTTTCATTAATTGTATGAATTGTGACTCTTTATTAGATGTTTTATTTGAAGACCATCAAATAATCTGGCTTTATAGTTTATTCGTCTTCCGGGTTTGGACCGTGTCATTTGTGAGTGACCCAAAAGTGGGTTCATCTCGACGTTTCGCTACAATTGTATGTAGCTTCTTCAGGAGATCAAAGAAAAAGAAATCAAAAGACAGGAAGATGGGTAGTTAGCAACGGTAACTCAGTTACTCAACGCAACCAGAGGCGAATACTAACTACCAAGATGGGCATTTGGTCACAGTAACTCAACTACTTAACGCAGCCAGAGGTGAAAACCAAATGCCAGGACAGGGATTCACGTCCAACAGCTCAGAACACTAACGCGTCGAGAGGCGGGGAGTGAATCCTCTGGCTGCGTTAAGTAGTTGAGTTACTGTGACCAAATGCCCATCTTGGTAGTTAGTATTCGCCTCTGGTTGCGTTGAGTAACTGAGTTACCGTTGCTAACTACCCATCTTCCTGTCTTTTGATTTCTTTTTCTTTGTTCTCCTGAAGAAGCTACATACAATTGTAGCGAAACGTCGAGATGAACCCACTTTTGGGTCACTCACAAATGACACGGTCCAAACCCGGAAGACGAATAAACTATAATTCTGACTCTGGCCGTGGAAGCCTACGATTTCATTTAATCCGGCTTTTACTTTTCCTGTTCTTATTTCAGAAAATTTATGTGAGTATCCAAAACATGGTTTATCTTCGTTTAAATCCTTTACAAACTGCTTCATGTCAAGTCCCAACTTGGCATGCACGAGTTGCGATACATTTTTTTCTCTTGCAACAAAAGGTTCATTTTCTTAAATCATAATATTTTTCAAAAGCCAATCTTTTTTAACCCAGTGCTGATTTTTTGCTTTGCCGTTCCAAAGACATAAAAAACAAGGGATGTTGGGTATATACATTTTGCTCTCTATGTAAACAGTATAACAATTTATATCGACACGAATTGCCCACAGATATTCTTCGTATGACATTTCTTCAGTACTAGTGATATTGTTAAATAGTATTTCTTTTCATACTGGTAGAGTAAGCAACGGATATTGACACATTTCTATCTCTTTGACAATAAAATATAATATTAGTATGTGAATATAGTACATTCTTTTTTTTATCTAGTAGCAAGTCCAACACAATCCTCCTTGTCAGTCAGGTCAGGTCAGGTCTCTAATAAATTTATTCAGTTCTTGGTGATTGACACATTGGGGTTTCCCACATTTGCTTTAAAATTACTGTGGTTATCCGATTGCAAATACTAAACTTTGATGTTGTTGTTTCATTGTCATCTACTGGGAGTGTAGGTAGACTTTGGAATGCGTAGTTTCTTAGAATACTGTATTGGTCTTTTGTTAAATCTAGGTTAGGATTAGTCCATTTTTGTTTATTGTTCCGATTGATACCTTCAATATTCACAGGGCAAAAATCACCGTGATGGTTTCTTGCCTGCCTCCACTTATTGATACTTTACAATTTAGACACTTCCTCGTTCCCACTGACAATTTTTAACGCATATTTTATATACCAAATTAATGTGAAGCTTAATATTTATTATGGTCTCTTAATAAATGCTGGAATAGTTCAGGTAAGCTGTTTTCCCAAACATGTAAACAGGTTTATTGTTTTTTTTATAACATGTCCACCATATATATATATATATATATATATATATATATATATATATATATATATATATTATATAGTATATATATATATATATATATATATATATATATATATATATATATATATATATATATAACAAAGAATGTTTAGTTCATTTAGAAACAACTGCTTGTAGATGAAATATGATGATATAATTTTATTACTAAAGATTGTCGTAGTGAAATTTGGTCGTGAGGATTAGGCAGGTATCGGAAGATTTTGATTTTATGATAATGAATATTTAATTACTAAAACAAGATATTTTGATTTTAATTTAATCAGCAAAATTTTAGTTTTGCTTTATAAAATTTTTTTTTATCGTAACGTTTTAGTAAAGTGTCTACAAAAAACCTAAAGCTACTACGAAAAAATAAAAGATCTTTTCGAAATTATCGCATTTAAAACATGTTAGTATTCTTCCGGATCGGAAAAAACGGAGAAGTTTTTTCCTTTTTGTTGGCAATAAAAAATTACTAAAATTGCTTATTATTTAGTAATAATTTATACATATTTTATTATTTTAGAAAAGGCCCGTCAGTCTTTGCAGCAGAAACACAATTTCCAGAATCTCGATCTAGAACTGGACGAAAAATTGATTTACCCACACCTGAAAAACTCACATTAGAAATACCCACACGCAGTCGTCGAAGAACAACAACACCTAAAATCGATAAACAATCCTCAGTACCTACATTTCCATCAAGAAATCGCTTTAGATCTAGGGAAATGCCTATAATAGACGAACAAAAACTAGAAGTACTACCTCTGTTTGAAGTAGAACCCAAATTGGTTAACACACGTATAATGAATAGGGCTGACGTTGTTTTTAAACCTAAAAAAAGTAGTTTAAATAAAGATAAAGATGAGTCAATGATAAGAAAAACAAACGAGATTGACGCGAGATCTCGACGAAGGGGAGGTTTAGAAATCATTCAAGCAAGTTCTACTGAAATAAAACCAACAGAAATTCCAGCAAGGTCTAGAGTAGCAGTAAGTGTCAGTGTAGAAACCAGAACAGAATCTTCGGTAAGGCGTTCTTTACCTAACAGGAGGTCTGAAGTTAAAGAATCAGTTGTATCAGAAATAAATGAAGTGACTTCTCGTAAAAAAGTATCACGAAAGAAAGCCAATTCCAACAATTCAAACGAAATCAAATTAAAACCTCTTCCGGTATACAGAGGAAGCAAAAAATCCGAAGTAGTAGTTAAAAAAGCAAGTTCCGAAGAAGTTGACGAGGCTGATAATTATCCTGAAGCTTTCAAGGCTTTAATTAAATCAAAAAAGGTAACGTTATTTTATTTCTTAACATATTGCAACAAAAATTACTTTTCACTATATTAATGAAAATTTTTATTAAATAAAGGACCTTTAATCTATTATAGTATAATTAAATGAAACAGAAATAGTGCTCTCCAAAACCTTAAAATAATGGGATTAGTTTTAGCTTAGTTTAATAGGATGCTCGTCATTATCTAAAAAATTATTGTCGTATGTAAATACATGACAAATATTGCAGTTTATGATTTAGAAAATTCATTCTTGGACTTTTTTTAAAAAGTAATTATTATTTCTCAAACTTTTTTTGGATTTTTAATAATGACTCTTATTGAATTTTATCTAATAAAATCATGTAGAAATTAGATAAAAAAATTAAAATCACACCGTTGACTATATATTTTTTTTATTGGCTTTGGCTTGAAACCTTTCGCCACGTAATTACATATAAATATTAGTATTCATTCATACAGGATTGTACAAGGAGGACACTTTTCACGCTCAGGGATTCATCAGAGCGGCTTTATTGTAACAAACAAGACATAAACCACGGTTAGGTAGGTGGGCAACATATATGGTAAACATACAAAGGAAATGTTCAAGCATACGATCAATTTTACACTCATACCTTTAATTTAATTTTTACAAGAAATATCATAATTATTTTAAAGATTTTTATATTGTCTTCACTTAATAGGAGATTTACGTTTAATGGTGTACTTAATCCCTCTTTTATCAATTCTTTTATCAGCCACGTGCTTGTATTACGATGTAGTGGGCAGTTGAAGAATATGTGATTTAAATCAGCTATACTAGTTCCACACTCACATCGGTCTGTTGGGAGAACTCCTATTTTGTGTAGATGTTTCGGAAAACATCCATGATCTACTTTTAATCTTAAGACAGTTGACACTGTGTTTCTGCTTAGTGTAACATCTTTGTAAAATTGTTTTACATCTACTGTGGGTTGTAATTTGTATAAATTAGTGCCCCTGCTTTCACCAAACTGAATCCATTGTCTGTCCCATTTAAATTTAATATGTTGTTTGATATAGGCAAGTAGGTCACATGTGTTAAATTCTTCTATCACCATATGTGGGTGCTGTAATGGATTTTTAGCTATAGAATCAGCAATAGTATTGCCAACAATATCTGAGTGTCCCTTGACCCATAGAAATTTAGTACCATATGGATCTGATAGTTTTAGTAACTGTTGAAAAATTTCTAATATGAATATGTTGCTATTGATTGTGAATTTAAAGTTTTGTAAGGAGTGCAATACTGACAGTGAATCACTGCATATGACAATTTTGTTCCACTGGTTTTCACAGCACAATTCAAGGGCTTTGTATATAGCACACGCTTCAGCAGAAAAAATGCTGGATTGATTATTTAAAATAAATGATTTTTTAATCTTCATTTTTGGTACAAAGTAAGCACTGGTTGTACATGTTGGTGATTTTGACCCGTCTGTATAGATCACAATATGATCTGAATAGCCACTTAAGATTTCTTTAAGAGTAGTGTAGCAAAATTCGTTTTGGTATTTTGGGATAATAATATTTGTAGCTAGAACACTTGTTAGATGTGGTATATCCAACGATTCCCAGATAAGATTACAAGGGGAATTTATTAACTTCAGTTCGTTGCAAGTTATAATTGCTCTTGCAAGTGGTGGAGAGTTTTTTTTAACGAAGTATGTAGATGTTAAATCAGCTGTATTTAATTCATTAATTATTTTTGCATTATAAGTGCCACGATAATGTTGGTTTAGGAAATATTTGCTTGCCAGATATTCTCTGCGTAATGAGAGTGGATTTTCAGATGCTAGAGCTAGGGTGGCTTCATTTGGAGTGCTTTTCATCAATCCTAACACAATCCTTAGAGCTTTAAATTGAATTCTATCAAGTTTACGTAAATTGGTTATGCTAGCTGACCCATATACCACACAACAGTAATCTATTATAGATCTTATATAGGCTCGATAAAAATTCAATGCAATGTTTTGATCTGCACCCCACGATCTCTTACACACCATTTTAAGAAAATTAATACCTTTTTCGCAGCGACCAATTGTATAATTAATATGTTGAGTCCAAAGCAGTTTCCTGTCAAGTATGACACCAAGATATCTAACTTCCGAAACAATTGGAATATCATTGCCATGTAAGGTTACAGCGTGATGTTTAATAGGGTGTTTTCTTGAAAAAAATATTTCATTTTTTGTAACATAATGTAAGAAATCTGATCTGGACCTGGAGCTGTGTTTTTGGATATCTTGATAGCATATTCCAGTTCAGATGATGTTATTTTTTTTAATAAGTAATGTTCTTCTGGATTTAAAGCCATGTAAGGTATATGTTTGTCAACAAATCGTGGACATAACTTCTGAAGAATATCTTCTGCAACTGCGGAAGGAGCATGTTTGATGTTTGGTTTTTGTTGTTTAACTTGTTAGCCATCTTCCATATTTGAGTTGATGGGCAACTAGAGTTAAGACTGGAGCAAAATTTAATCCATGTTGTTTTGGCTTTGTGTTTAAACATTTTTTTAGTTGTAGCTTCTATCTTTTTATATTCAAGAAAATTATTCAGTGTAGATGCGGTTTTGTATTTTTTAAGAGCATTCTTCTTAAGCTGTAGCTGTGTATTACATTCATCATCCCACCAAATTGATTTTTGTCTATGTTTAGGACTGAAAGGTACGTTTTGGGGGATAGAAGCTTCACTGCTTGTATTAATTGCTCTATTCAGATTAAATGCCATTTCATTACAGTTTTTAGAGTATACAACATTCTTCAGTTCCATTTCAAGAGTGCTATGAAACAATTCCCAGTTGGCCTTCTGTAATTTCCATTTCCTTGTTGGATAGACAACAGAAGAGGGTACATCAATATTCAACTCGATGAAAATAATATATTGATCAGATCCAAGAGTTCTATCCAATGTTTGAAGATGTGCCAGTGCAATTCGTCCAGGAGTTATTAGCGTTAAGTCTACAGCTGATTTTGTAGAGTTTGGAGGGGTAATTTTAGTCGCCGAACCATCATTTAGAAATATTAAATCCATATCAGTTAGTAGATATACTAGGGGTCTTTGAGCTCATCCCCTAAATTGCAACCCCTAAAATCGCAACCCCCGGTCGTAAGTTCCAAACGGCTTAACGTAGGATGACGTACGAGGGCTCGTTGGAAAGGGGATGAAAAATGGGGTTGAATGCAGTATGTGCCGTGCGCATCGGAGCATGCCAAAAGGTCATTATGGGGTATCTTCGTTTCTATTGGTCAGATTGGGGCGTACGAGGGCTCGATGGAACGGGGATGAGACGGGGAATACTTTGACACAAAAAACAAAGATGGCGGCGTTGCCAAATGGGCGTTAAAACGTATCTTCGTTGCTATTGGTCGGATTTTGACGTATGAGGTGTCAAAGCGTTGGATGTCACGTGACATTCGACGCAGGACGTGACATTTATGTGACATTTGCCGCAGGACGTGAAATGTCACGTGAAATGATGTGACATTCGACGTAGGACGTGACATTTGACGCAGGACGTGACATTTATGTGACATTTGACATAGAACGTACAATGACACATGAATTGACGTGACATTCGACGCAGGACGTGACATTTATGTGACATTCGACGCAGGACATGACATTTATGTGACATTTGACGCAGAACGTGAAATGACGTGACATTCGACGCAGAACGTGAAATGTCACGTGAAATGATGTGACATTCGACGTAGGACGTGACATTTGACGCAGAACGTGAAATGTCACGTGAAATGATGTGTCATTCGACGCAAGACATCGCTCAACATACATATAGAGTAATGGAATTTAAATAAAACAACAACATCATAAACGGAGCATTTTTTATTCGTATATATTTACAATTTTGTTTAACAAAGTTTTTAATTGTTTTAATAGCCCGTCGTTGGGGCAGGGTATCCCAAAAAGTTCCCAGCTAAACGTTCCTGCTGCTACAACTTTACGTGTGTATTCGCTGTACTTATAATAGGTGTTGTTCTGAAAAAAGTAAATAAACCCATCAGTATAGCGGAATGCTGATGTTATTGTATCCGGTAGTCCGGGTAAGAGATAATTCATGGGTCCACGGTTTAAGACATCTCCAGCTTCATTAAATTCAATATAAGAATCATCATTGTATAATAAATACGTTTGACCGCTGTTTGTTTGAAATAATGCATTTATTTTGGTTCTCGCAGGTATAGAAGGAAACATAAAACGTTTTTGAATTTTTAAATTGGGGAAAGATGCAGCGTAATACTGATTATTGCGTATGGTTACTAAGTGTCCCTCGGAATTCTGAAAAACATGTGAAACGTGCGCAGACCTCAACTCTTTAGGGAGATAATCGGTAATTAATTCGGGATGTTTTGGAAGGCGCATCTCATTTAAATCAAATTTCCATATATATGGACCATATCCAACGTACATTCTATAATTTGGAAACTGAGGAGAAGTAGCTAAAAACATGAAATCTGGATATGGAATTAGACATAATATGTTTTGTAGGGCAGGTGTGGTTGTTGTTGTTGGCAAAGAGGTCCTGTGTTTGATGGTAGATGTTTTCGACATATGGTTCTTGTTGTGCGGAACTGGTGTTGTTGGTGGTATGTAAGAGGGTGTTGTTTTTGGCCCATATAGAATACTCATTGCCTTTTTATCATCATCACCAAAAGGTTGTACATCTTGTTGATACCAAGGATACATAATAGACGAATCAATAGTACTGTGTGCTAGTCCGAGAGAATGACCAATTTCATGCATTAGAACAGCCAAAAAATTGACTTCACCATTGGGAGCGCTGCCATTTCCTACATACCATCGTTCACTAACATCAAGATGAATTTCGGTACACTCTGCGTATGCGCTTGGAAAGTATGCGTGAGCCAATACTTTTCCAGGACCATCGAAATTAAATGAACATTTAGAGGTTCCTTGACAACTTGCTCGAAAATTATGAGTATTTGGTACCAC